TAGTAGTAGTAGAGAGAGAGAGAGAGAGAGAGAGAGAGAGAGAGGGTTGGTTCTCAGTGCTCAAAGAAGCGCAATTCCAGTATGCATTCTCTCTGCTTTGTTGAGTACCAAGCAACGGCCCTGGCTGAGCCCAACACTTGCAACGCATAATCAACTGCGAATATGGCCTCGTCCACACGAGCCAATTGCTCTCCATTTCCAGGGTTGATTTTCAAGTCAGTTCGGAAACTGAAAGGCCCAGCAATCTGAATACAACCTAACATATAATTAACACTACAATTCTAGAGAGAGAGAGAGATATCAAACATATAACTAGGTACATCATTCTGCAACCCAACATATAATTAACGTTATAATTTTAGAGAAATTTCAAAAAAATAAGAATATAATTCTAGAGAGAGAGATCAAACATACAACTAGGTACATCATTCTGGAGACAAACGCCCATCATATAATTATAGTAATATAGTACGAGAGAGAGATGTAACATTTAATTAGACGGGGAAGACCAGATAGGAACAGAAAGAGACTGGCCCAACATAAAATTATTAATATAAGAGAGAGAGAGAGAGAGAGAGAGAGGATCAGCAAGTGGCAAATCAGCGATATGGAAAACTGAGAAAGAAGATTAATTAACGTTTTACACCAAGGAAACTACATCTGCAAAATTGATTGATGAATTCATGGATGACATTTTTAGACCGTCATGTGAAATACAAAATTAGCCATGACCTGATAGTTCATAGAAAGCATGAATTTTCCAAATAACATATTTAGGAAGAGTATCCAATGAGACCATTTACAAAGGTGGTCACAATTAATCTTGACTACTGAATGTGAAATTGGGTGGCTACATTTATTCCATTACCCAAGCTCAAACTTCAAAAGAAATTTTATTAAATGGTGTGACACACCCAATCTATTATATTTCACATTGGATGGTTACTACTAATTGTGACATCCTTGTATTAATGGTAAATGGTTTCGTTGTATACAATACCCTTAGGAGGAAATTTTTATCTAAAATTTTAATATCCATTTTTTAATATTTTCAGAAAGAAAGAGAAAGGATTTCGAATAGCTAAACACCTCAATCTTACCATCCAAAAATTGGATGGTCAGCATGCAATCCTAGGGCATTATTTTTCTACAGCAGATCTAAGGTGTGTATTCAATTTTTTTTTAAGGTTGGTCACTTGATTGAGCAGGACACATCCCATCCCCAAAATTTGAAGTCCTAAAAATTTTCCTAGCTAGGACTCTTTGCCTGAGGGAAGAAAATGTACATTTTGCTCCACAGAGCATATAATCTTATCAGTACTTATTTGCTTAGTCATTTAAATTTATTCACAAAGGGCTTGCAATATTTTGATTTAAGTTTAAAAAAAGATAACCATGGAAATCATGTTTTAGATGTAAACCAAGGTCAAACTTGGGGATATGGTATATGGCACTAAATAGAAGCAAACCTCTAGTCAAGCAGGAAATCAGAAAGTTAGCCACTAAACCATAGTCAAAAAGGCTAATTAGATTATAGTTGAAAAAATCACCAGAGAAGAAGGATGGGGTTTTATGCGTTAGCCGATGCACTTATTCAAGTGCAATCTCCTTCCAAACAATCCATCTTAGAAATAGATTTTTGGATCAAATTTTTAAAAGGTTGACAATCTCTACCACTATGATCATGAATCTGAAAAGAAACAATGATTTTAAATCTTAATTATAAAACTTTGCTTTTAGACCCTTTTTGGACGCTCATATTAATTCTTTTAAAATACTTTTTTTTTTTAAAAAATAAATTCCATTTTCTATAGATTCATGAATCATGATCGTGTGGATCGAGATTATGGACCTACAAAATCTTAGATCCAAAACCCATCTGTGAGGCAGATTTCTGGAAGGCCAGGGGATCGCATTTCAATAGGAATGCATTAGAACCTCTCCCCAAAAAAGCTACCCACCTATAAGAGCCATGACCAAACAAGCCCAGCAATTCATAATGTCAAACAGACCACAAAAGTATCAAATATGGCCATTGTAACCAACCAAATACCAAATTTCTAAGAATTGTAAACCAATGTACATAGTGTGAGTTCTAGCCTCTGGGGGTATCATACTGATAATATTCTGAAGTCGAAAACGATTTGCTCAAAAACAACATGACAAAAATTTGTCACAACCCACATAAACAATACTTATTTACAGACTAAAATTTTGTAGGTTCTAGGTCAAATTTCTTCAATTATTCGTCATTTAAGAAAGTTGTCTTAAAACTATATATATATATATATATGAGAAATGATCCTATAGGACCCTCCCCCACCCATGTGTGTAGGACCCCAAGGGATCACCATTAAATTTGGCACGGATCTATAGAAAAATCAAGTCCCATACCCATGTGATAACTTTTCTAGATATCCGTGTCAACTTTAATGGTGATCATTTGGGGTCCTTCACACATGGGTGGGGGAGGGTCCTATAGGATCATTACTATATATATATATATATATGGAAAGGTTCTTTGATAATTATTTCTTTGGCAATATATAGTTGAACTAGAAAATAAACAACAAAGAGAAAATAAAAATATGCATTCTTTCATGGAAGGAAAAAAAAAACCAAGTACCTGTTGTTGAAGTGACAGAGTGATATCAGGACAAACAGCATGGATTGCCTCCAAATCTACTCTTTTTGATTTGTATATTGCATTTGTCAAATGAGTAGCACCGGTGACAAATGCTGTAGCTGAAGGTATATCCAATCGAACATTCACCCTGGTAAGGTCAAAGAAGAGTCTCTGAAAGTTTCCGTACTGAGCAGTACAACAAAGAGATGCAAACAAATCCGATGAAAACTCAGGCCTCTTCCTAATGGCTTGTGAGTACAATGATCTCACTATTGATGATGATTCGGATTCAGCTGGTGCAGCTCCAGAATTTCCTCCAAATCTTGCACACAGGGCACTACCTATGAATATACACAAGAGAACACTATGAGTATACACAAGAGAAAATGAGAAAATATAAATTCTTCCTAGTCTCCCTCAAGGAAATGTGTAGAATGCACGTATAGTTTCCAAGAAATTTCAAATGATCAAGAGCCAAAGTAACAGATCTTAGTTTACACCAAGTAGAAAATGATAATGCCTGAAGTACCTGAGAAAAGATAAAAAAAAGAAAGGAGGTATCTTACCAATGGCATTATACCAGATTTTTGTTTTCCATGACATAAAGTTACATAATTAACAACTAGGAAACAAGAAAAAGTAGCTTGTTCCAATTCATATTACTTACGAAAAGCACAACATCATCAATCCAGCCCCAAAGCTGATTATCCTTTAATCACCAGCATCACTAACAACCATTGCTATGGCTATTTCTATAATCTTCAAAATTCCATAACCTGGACTTTAGGGAGCCATTTCAGCTTTCATTTACTGTGACAATAAAAGTGCAAACATTCCTCTCAACAGGAAAAGTCAAAAACAGAAAAGAAAGAAAGAAACAAGAAGAGCAGAAGAAAGAAAAAAGAAGAGCAGAACCAGGCGGCAACACAGACCACGCACATTCTGTCAAACATTTATAGGGGAAGTGCCACCCAAACAAACCCCATCATTATGCTCTTTCTAATGACCATTGATTGGCAGTTCTGCCAAGCATCCTTCTTGAGCTCGACAATTATGAGCTTTTCTTGCATAAACGAGTACCTCAGTTTGTAAAGCAGAGTAGCCATGCATATTTCACTTTAGAAAATATCATTTCTTTTATCATTGATAAATGATAGTCCTGTCGTTTGTTTATTTTGGAAGGGTGCTTCTGACATTGCTTCTCTCTTTCTTAAACACACCTCACTTGTGTGCATTACTCCCCGTGTGTGTGTGTGTGCGCATCTGCATGCGTGTCATTAAATCAAGAAAAATACATGTCATTATGGCTTCATCCTATTTAATGTTCACAAGGACAGAAGGAGTTCAAAGTTCACAGGGAAAAAAAAAAAAGATGTGGAAAGACCAATGAAGAACAAGACAATAATCCCGACAAATCAACAATATCTAAATGATCAAACAGATTACTTAATTTTGTCAAAAGAGAGAAATGATCCTATAATTATTAAACAAGCTGGATCCTATACAAAGCATGGTCATCATAAAAACGGAGAGAACATGACAATAATCCCGACAGATCTACAATCTCTAAATGATCAAATGGATTACATAACATTGTCCAAAGAGATAAATGATCCTATAATTACTAAACAAGCTGGATCCTATACAAAGCATGGTCATCATAAAATCGGATATAACATTTAAAATGAAGTAAAAATACCAAAGGATTTGGATATCATGAAAATAGGGAAAAACAATATCATGTGGACGCAATGGAACCTCAAGTGCAAGGAAAGGTTATACATGGAATTCCGCTGACTAATTCGGAAGGTGCAAGCAATAATAGATGGATTCTACACCGAGTGACGCAAATTACCAATAAGTCCTGATGCCGAAACATGAGGATCAGACAGAAACATGTCATATGGTTGAACATTCTTCACCTTGCCCTCCTTACTTCTCCAAATATCAACACTCTTCTGAAAGGACAGGGCTGCTTTAGCAGATGTTCCAGGCAAAAGAGTTGAAGGAATTCCAATGATATGACCACTGCCAAATTTTTTAGGCTCGCCCATGTTATGATGAACGCAAAGATGATAACCTAAACCAGAAGTAGAAGGGAGTGAAGCTAAGTCAATTGCTAGTGATAGCGGCACATCCCAGTAATTTCCCTTCTTGTCAACAAAAAGTCCAGGCGCTGCTGCCTCCAAAGTTAAGTTGTGCTCGGGAAGCTGCACGTTACAAAGAAAAAGGTCTGTTGAAGACTTAACAGTTCATTCACCAATGTTCTGCTAATAAAGGTAACGATAGCAAATAAATTACATTCTACATTGTAATTCCTTCAAGATTACTGTCACATAATATCATCAACATCAAATTAAAAAAGCATAGGCCTATCAGAAAATCTAACAAACAAGTTATGACTTTTGACACCTCTTAAACCTAGCTTTATCAATCCAGTATCTGAGAGATAGTGGGAAACTCTAGGAACAATTTCCTACTACTGTAATCCCTATTCTACACACGTACTCTTTAGCAGTAACATCAATAGTACATCATGGTGGATTGCATACATTTCTACTATTGATAAAAGTTGCTCAAAACAGTCTTCAAATAAAATGGCTACAAATCAAGAAAATATAGGAGCCAATAAAAGGATTAGATTTTCTCAATTCAATATAATATTTCCCAGTTCTGTCTGAATCCCAGAGAAAACCTCTATCATTTCATTGTTTCAGGGGAGAAACACAGTTGAGATGTATAAGCAATTTACAGTGTGTGGTAAACCATCTATAAATAGTTCGCATTCACAATGCCCTAGCAACTACAAATGCATCAAATGTGGGTGCTCAGCGACAATTAAGAGAACCAGATACCATTTCTGGGAATCAATTACAAGTATGAAAAGGTGGATTAACTCCAGAGTAATTCTTCCAGCATACAATTTAAGAGGACCTTTTGCAGGCCTTTTGTAAACAGTTAGCTGAAAACTTAATGAATTTCAAATTCTCCAATGCTGCTCGAACACAGATGTGCTTCTAGAATTTATTTGCACGCACACCTAGTTAATTGAACATAACACAAGTAACAGACTAACAACAAAAGATACACTAAAGTATTAGAGTATGGCCTGTATTAAGTACCATATTATCGTAACAAAGGATCAAACATGAGACAACTTGCCTTGTGATGGAAAATTGCTTTATTTCGCCGTTTCTGACCATCACCATACACTTCTGAACTAAGAAGCAGAGAAGAGTTTGAGGTGATCATGAAGTCAGAGCAGAAACCAAGAGCATAGAGAGATTTATCACAGAGGTTTCTCCAAACTTTTTGAATCCCTGAATCACCAATTGGACTCTTTCTTTTACCATCCTTTATGGCAGACAATAGTTTCTGAAGATGGAATTGCCCAAGAATAGTAGCCATGCTGCACATATTTCTCACCTCAGATCTAGTAAATAAAACATTAACCGTCATAAAGAATTAAAGAAATAATTATTTTTAAAGCAAGGAGATGTCAAGGATCATCTAACTAAAAGGTAGTGAGGCAATTAATCACCTTGTTGGAGACTCTTGACCCACTTGTTGAGCTTGAATATTCTAACTAGAAGCTAGTGTTAGTGTTAGTTTTTGTGTGTGTGCACGCTCTTCGCTGTTTTAATCTATTTTTAATGCCCTGTATGCGTCTCCATTTATCTGCACCCTATGGCACAACTATATGCATACAGTTCCTCTCTCCAAGTGAAAAAATATGTTTTTAATAAAAAACAATAAAATGATACAGGAATGAAAAGCAGCAGAGAAAACACACGAATTTCTTTTCAGATCGCATGCAGTAAAAGGCTATAACAATCACACATACACACAATAAGAAATAACACATGAATTTCTATTCCTCTGAAATGGGAGAACCCACGAGGTGCAAAAAAAAAAAGCGGGAGCATTTGAAATGATTCACTTTGAACGGCTCATGTGAGATAATAAACTTAACTCCATGGAAACATCAATTCAAGGAGTTAAAGTACTGAAACAATAAAAATAAACCGAGGAACTCAAGGTAGCTGCTGAAGTGTCATACCCCTCTATGCTATGAATGCTTGGTATTGGGCATCAAATCCCGCCCAGGTAAAATCTTCGACTGGTCTAATTTCTATCTTCAATCTATTCTTACTTCTTTTTTTGATAAGTTGTGAATAATATTATTTTTCCAAATGCTCCTATAACTAATGTCTGAACAAAATTGACAACACACCCAAGAGATAGAACATGTAGAAGTAATGAATCTACAATAACAGAGAAAGAAAAAAGGATCTTGAATTCCAGTTCTGAAGTCATGTAAAAGTAACCGGGTCAAGAAGGCCAAGAATAAAGCTCTGTACACAGATCCCAGCCTGAACAACTACCCAAGTGTCCATAAATGGGTCACAACAATTAAGAGAAGATAAGTACATATTTTGACCCTTATGCAAATTTGCAATTCCTTATAAGTAATTACCATGTTAAAATTTTCATTTTTAATGCACATACCATTTATTACCAATATAAATGGCTAGAACACATTGCAAATTGAACCAAAAGAATTGGCAAGAACACAATGCAAATTGAACCAAAAGAATTGGCAAGAACATGCTTATCCAAATTTGAATTCCTCATCACAATAACAATGTTAATAACAAGAAAGCAATGTGTTTACCATCTCTCACCAATTGAACTGATCCTAACCATGGCAATTGAACAAAATAGAAATGGTAGGAACCTGATATCCAAATTTTACATTTTCTTATCAGCAATAACAATGTTAATAGTAAAAAGAAAAAAGTAATGCACTTACCATCTCTCACCAATTGAAATGGCGAGAACGCGCTGCAAATTGAACCCATCACCACCCTCCTTTGGATCTCCAGCATAAGAAGGAACCAAAGGAAGCGACATGAAACGATGAAAGAAATCCAATTGCTTGGGTCTAGAAAGCCTAATCCCTCTTGAGAGGCTCAGAGGAAGAGGGTCACCAGGAACTGTTCTTGCCACTCCATCAAGAGTGACTGGAGTAGACAAGTCCAGGTCCCAAAATTCACCATCCATTGCCCATCTAAGCTTCCTCATTTCCCTCTAAATATACAAATATATCACTCTGCTCTGTATCTTTATGTTGTGTATTTTTAAGCTTTGAATGATGAATTCAGTTCAAAAGACTGCATTATCTACGCTTCCAGATTCTTCTCGTACAGCTTAAACAAGGAGATAAAAATCTTAATAACAGAGAATTAAAACCCACATCATCTAACCGTACACTTAGATGCTTTAAACTCTAAAACCCACGCATTTCTGAGAGTTTCCAGAAACTAGAGAATCCCCATTCGATTTTCCTTCTGAGTCTTCACACCCCAAAATCCATGCATTCATGAAGATCAATCGAACCCTGGAATATCATTCTTGATGATGAAGGCCTGCTCATTTCACTCCTGCGACTCGATTCAGTGATTAAGAAACATGTGAAACCCTATATCAATGAGGAATAAAACCCTACTACTCTCGCATTTGAGCAATGAAAGATCCCCAAACCTCCCTTTCAATAAGTATATCGAATCTTCAGAGCTTTTAACCGTCGAACACTCTTAATTTTGATGAGTCAACTTCAAACCCTAGAGCGCCATATCCATACGGACAGGCATCTTCCTTTCTCAGCCTTGAAGTTCGAATTTCAAACAAGATTAATAAAGGGTGTGGTTTCAATGAGGTTGCAACCTTAAACAATCCAATTAAGGCGCACCTCTAAATTTTATTATAAATGTAATTTTGGTATCAAAATTTCTTGGGATGGTTTGAGAATCTATTTTCATCTTTAATTATAAAACTTTAAATTCTGAAAAGAGTCCAAATCAAGTAGATCTATAAACACATGACAATCTTGAAAATGGATGGTCCAGATAATGTGTTACAAGATACATTATTTCACAGACTTGAAATCTTTTTTTTTTCCCATATTCATACGTCTTGAAGTCGAGATTATCAAATCGTGAGTTTTCAACCTCAAAACAACCCTTTATAATGGAATTTTGAGGTGCACATGCAATTATGCATTTAAGGTTGCAACCTTATATCAACTTTTTCCTTTAATAAAACTTTAAGCTTTAGGTTTATCCCAAGATACTATGCACCCACGGGATTAGAATGTATGTTTACAATCACAGGATATATTCCCCCTCAAACACCATGTCCTACTAATGTATGGTTGAAGTGATATCTACCACTTGGGACATATCATGCACTTAGGTCGTATGAGGTTTTGGTGGGTCTCATACTTCACCTTGCATGCATCAATCTAACAATGTTTGGCTGGTACCTCGGATGGTCTTAGGGTGTTATCTGTAGCTTAACCAGCTGGTTTGGACTCGTTCGACCAGTAGTTAGACCCAAAACTCGATCAATTCATTCAAAAATTTGATCTTGAAAAATTAGATTTCTAATGCTATTGGCAAATTCTTTTAATATATGTTATGGTTTTTTATGGTTTTCATAAAGTTCAAATAGTTTAATGAGTAGTCAAATTACTAATTGAACCATCTCGAATCCTTTCTAGTATGTTGACTAATTCGGTTTTGATAATATTGATTTTATATAAGCCGACTCCAATTAAATGATAAAAGACTTTGACGATGACGATGGTGAATTCCCCTTAAACATTTCTTATAAAAAGTATCATTTGTGGTATTATTGTCATTTTTTGTAGCAATGAAATATTTTGATATTCTTTGTTTTCTGAATATCATTTTGATATTCTTTTTTGTGTAGGAGAGTTATAACCTAGGATGTTGCATTTCAATTGTGAACAGCCCAACAACGATTGCAAATATATGCTATAAGATTGTTTTGTCTTACAATAAGGTCACAATCATCCTGCAATCAAGGTCTGGACACTACCTATTCTATATGTAATTCAGGCCTTACTTTGGCTTGTGAGATTTTGACCATAGATAACTTGCGAGAAAAGGGGGGAAATCCTGTGAAGTACGTGTCTGATGAGCAATTTTAGTAAAATAAATGTAAACCATTCATTCTATAAAAGAGGCTGGGGTCGTGGTGGTAAGCATCCCCATGTCCAGTTACCACATCCCTATCTTCCCCACCGAATTACCCAAAAAATATAGACAGTTCAATTTTACACTATCCAGCTCAGCTGATGAAGCACAAGTGAAGCTCACCTTGTTGCAAGACCTTTTGTTATTGGATGTTGATGACATTTAACTTATCATTGGAGATTGCTCCCCATTTTTGACCAAATCAGGGAACTTCCAAGTTCTTCATTGCTGCTGTGAAAGTAATGCTGCTAACACATTGGCTTTGGCAAAGCAAGGGGTCTCTCACCCATCCCTACAAGTTTTGAGGTTTTGTTTAGCTATGGCTACTTTGTAAATTTATGATGAAATATGACAAGTTATCCCTCAAAAGAAAAAACAAAGAAAAAAGAAAAAAATCCAAAGGCACAATCACATGCAGTCACCATCATATGATATTATGCAGTTGAAAGTGTGCTGTTAACCACACTTGGAATTTCAGAAATTTGTTTTCAAAACTTTTGTGAAAAATGATAAACCTTTAATCATCCGATTTTACATTTAAAAGCTAGAGTTGATTGTGACAAGTGAAAGATGTTACAGTATACAATTCCTATATAAAATGATTGATTATTTGAGCAAGGAGGGACCAAAGATGTTTATGCAACATGTGATGTCAGTTGAAATTTGAGCCCCTATGCGATTGTTAGGACGTCACTTACCTCTACAGAAAAATAAAATAAAATAATATAAAAAGAAAAGTGACTCCATTTATATTCTTATGTTAATTAAAAATCATAAATATATTAAAAAATTAGTGAAGATATAATTTAAGGTTTGAAATTCTTTATAATAATTGAAGGGGTCAAATAATCTCAATTAATATTTGGTGGATTACTTTTTTTTTTTCATTTCATTTAGGTTCCTCCAAAAAATAAAAAATTTACAAATTTTCTTGTTCGTAATTGGGATGGAGAAACAATAAGGCGAATTCCAATAATTTGATCTTGAAGAGGTCTTAATTAATAATGAAATTACTCTGCTTGTTATGTCAACAAATAAGAAATATACTATTCAGGATTAGTTATGAGGAATACCTAGAGGTATTTTTATCATTGGCACCCAAATGGTTGACGTGTATCAAATAATAAAAATAACCCTAGTTGTTCCTCATTATTAATCCTGAACAATATCCTGACCCGATTGGACCCGACCAAAACATATAAAAATATCTATGTATTTAACTATATGACCCGGTATCTATACGGCCAAGACCGCATATGTAGAAATGCGGGCCTATTAATAAATGTATTTTTTAGATGGGTTTTTAGATTTAATTTTAAAAATAAATAAATCTTAAAAACTAGAAATAATAATTCTAGTAAGAAAACATTTGGACCATTAGTTTCCATTGTTTCTAGATGGAACACCTACCTGCATCCATCTTTAAGATGGATGCTTTTTTATGCTTTTTGGACCGCATATGTAGCCATGCTGTCCAGCCCTCATGAATCAAATTTCCTTAATTGTATTTAAGTATATGAAATATGTTGGGACCTGAAAAATATTACCAGACCTGAACCTAAATAGTGTTTGGGTCCAAGATTTAGACCCGTACCCAACCTTTCGGGTCTAATTTTTGGACCCTTACCCGGACCCAGATCAGACATACGCCTCGGTTTCGAGTCAGGTCGGGTCCATTGCGACCCCTGCTCCACGCCTTCCACACGAGCCTTTCGTTCGTGCCTTTGACATCAATGAAACTTCCATTGTGATATCTACACATAGTATTAGTATCGATTTTTTGAGAGACAAGCGGGAATGGATGAGATAGGCTAACAAATTTGGTTGAGAGAGATAGAGCCCAACCAATTTGGTAGAGAGAGAGGGAGATGGCCAGAGTTTTCTTGAATCGGGTGGGA